AAAGTACAACAATGAATGAATGGAATTCCAAAATCTCTGTAGATGTTAATTGAAATTAATAATAATAATAAAAGTCAGAATCAACTCAATAGGTTTTAATGATTCCAAAGAGTCAGCTGCCTCGTTTTAGCAAATATCTGGACAGTTTAGAGAGTATGGTAGCATTTTATTTTCTTTTTACTTCACATGATACTGTGGAACCTAGTGTCTTACCAAGCTGTGGAGGTAAAGCCAGAGAAAATGTGAAATATCAATGTTACCAATAACTCCTTCCCACACCGTTAAACAAAAAGTAGTGATTTGGGTTTTTTAAAAAAAATTTTAATAATTGTAATGAACATTTACAGAGATTTTGGATTTCCATTCATTCATTGTTGCACTTTTCATAGGATTAAATAAAATCCTCAAAGCTACTAACTCCTTTAGACTTAAGAACAAAACCACTGACATCACAGATCCTTCCTACAATCACAATGGCACTGAGCACACTTGAAAAATGCTCCAGAAACATGAAGACTCTCATCAAGAGGAAATAAAGTTTCCTTACTACTTTGACTTTCTAAGAGAGAGAAATGAAACTTCTGACCTTTCAACAATAAACAAAGCTGGAAAACCAAACGCCATGAACCCAGGTATTTGTTCATAGACTACTTACACTTGGAGCTTTCTCCTGTTTGCCTGGTTTGCTTACATCTCTCGATACAGATAAAAAAATTAATCCGAAAGGAGAATCTCAAATGACCTGAGCACGACTATAGAAAAATTATTGAGTTCAAAACTATTATGCTTAAATGAGTGCACAAACTTCAACAAAATGTCTCCAGGAAGTACCTGTATTTCCAGCTTACCATAGGTTTGATTGGGACAGAGGGGAGAATTGAGGTGATGGTAAGGACAGAGGGAAAGTATCAAACAAATTGGAAACCTCTTTCTAACTTTATCCATAGTCCAGAAACTGCCCTTACCACCACTACTAAAAATTCATTTGCCATAGTTCCTGAGCTGATTTTGCATTCTGGTTGCCTAGACACAGATGTAAACAAAAGTGCTTCTTCGGCAGCTGAGGAACAGCCAGATGGACCTGATGGCCCCCTTCCTGGCTCAAACAGTGGCCAAGAAAACAAAGCAAGTACTTTTAGATAATTCTGTTAAAAATAGAACATTTTAATCGGCTTCTTTTGCTTATAGAGTTTTAAGGCTTTTGGAAGTGTGGCTTTTTCTTTTCATTCTTCCCGCATTTCCTGTTTGGTGTGACTCCATAAAGTGCCAAAAGCAGAAAATAAAAAGGTTGTCAAATTGCTTCTCTGACTGACTTAAAATCTGGTACAGAATCTAGCAAAAGCTTGATAATTATTTGTTTTTAACGACGATTCAAAGAGAATCATATTAAAGTATATAGACTTGATCACTAATGTGAAAATTAGAAAAACTAAATAAAAATGTTGATTAGTTCTTGTAATAACTTCCCCAGTCATTAAAAATAACACTGAACAAGCATTGCTTATAGACTTTATTCAGTATTTCTCATGACATCTGGCCAGCAGATACTGATTACTAGTAGGAGATAAACATCAAATGCTTAATTTGTTATCTATTGACTGTACCATGAACTAATTGTGTGATTCTGGTTAATTATTAAACCACTCTGTTTTCTTTTCTGTGAAATGGAGCTAATTAGATCTGCCATATAAAATTGTTGTGAGCTTTGAGTGAGTCACCTATGTAAAGGTCTTAGTAGGAAAGGAGAGCTCAATGAATAATGGCTGTGATATGGTTACTATTATCACTACGTACGTATCTTGAGCAAGTTTACTTGCTTTCCTCCAAGTATCTTAACTATAATCATCTTACTTTTTTTTAGAGTTCAACCCTTTATTTTTTTAATTTCTCAGTTGGCATTTGTTAAATTACTTTTATGTGAGCAATGAAATCAGTCATTTAAAGACTTCTAATAGGGTCACTCACTACATGATGTCAGTCTAGAAACTAAGGTGTGCCTAATCTAGGCCATGGTCTTCACAATTACTTGTTATGCATCAGAGTAGAACAATGAATAGGAATGATGGGGAAAGAATTGATGCCTTTGAGTTGTGATGCTGGAGAAGAGTCTTAAACATACCGTTGAACTACCAAGAAAAAAGAATAGGTCTGTCTCAGAGAGAGAGAAACCATGCTTCTCCTTGGAGGATAGGTTTTTGAAGTTTCATCTCACATACTTTGGTCACGTTGCCAGGAGTGACTGGTCCTTGGAGAAGGACATCATGCTTGGAAGGGCAGAGGGATAGCACAGGAAAGGAACCCCTATGAGATAGATTGATACAGTAACTGGGGCAATGGGGGTTGGTATGCCAGAATTAGTGAGACTGGGAGACTGGCTCAGGACAGGGCAAAATTTCGAGCTGCTGTACATTGAGTCACTGTGGGTCACAGGCGACTCAATGGCACATACTAAAAAACAACAGTAGGGTTGCTTTGACTCATAGTTGACTTGATGGCATCTAACCACTACAATGGTTACATTTGACTGTGTGGATCATAACAAACTGTGGCTGACTCTGAGAAGAATAGGAATCCCAGAACACTTGATTGTGCTAATGCAAAACCTATACTTGGACCAGGAGGCAGTCATCAGAACAGAGCAAGGGAACACTGCATGGTTCAAAATTGGGAAGGGCGTACGCCAGGGATGCATCCTATCTCCATACCTTTTCAACCTGTATGCAGAACAGATCATCCGGGAGGCTGGGCTCTATGAAGAGAAATGTGGGGTCAAGATTGGTGGAAGATCTATTAACAATATGCGTTATGCAGATGACACAACCCTGCTTGCTGAAACTGAGGAGGACCTGAAGCACCTGCTGCAGAGGGTCAAGGACTGTAGCCTCCTATATGGCTTGAGGCTCAATGTCAAGAAGACAAAGATTCTCACCACTGGGCCAATTGGAAGCATCAGGATGGATGGTGAAGAGATTGAGATTGATGAGATGGATTGATTCAGTGACTGGGGTAATATAATAAAAATGGGGGTAGGTGTGTCAGAGATGGTGAGATTGGCACAGGATAGGACAGAGTTTAGGGCTGTTGTACATAGGATCGCTATGAGTCACAGGTGACTCAACAGCACATAACAACAACAACATATGAATATTGTGGCTGAAAATCTCATTAATTATTTTTGTAATATGTGAAGGCTTCAGTTGCTTAAATGAACTAATATTATCCATATAATAGAGTTAAAATACTCACAATATCTCTGGAAGGATGCAATCACATCATACATAAAATTTTCCACAATTCATAAAGAAATATTTACATTTTAAACATTACTGAGATTTTATACTAAAATAGTCACATTTCAACTATTTTTAAGTTGTGTGTGTGTGTGTGTGTGTGTGTGTGTGTGTGTGTGCGCCATCAAATTGGATCTGACTCGTATAGGAGGAGATTGACCCTCCTTCTCCAGCAGAGCATCTGGTGGATTTGAACCATATACCTCTGGGATTGCAGTGCAGCTTCTTGCCACTAGGCCACCAGAGCTCCCTTCTATTTCAACTATTATTAACAAATGGAAACTCGCTGAGGTTTAAAACCTGATAGTAAGAGGCAGGGCCACCAATTCTCCCGTGTTAACTGTAATTTTGTTATGAGATAATATGGATTGACACAGTAACTGGGGTGTTGGGGATAGGCGTGTCAGAGTCAGTGAGACTGGCTCAGGATAGGGCAGGGTTTGGAACTGCTGTACAGAGAATTCCTGTGAGTCACAGGTGACTCTTTGGCACCTAACAACAACAATTTTGTTATACTTACATGCCACAATGTGAATGAAACAGAACTGGCTATATAGACAATTAACAAAAATATGAAATTTTAGATAAAATACAGTCTTGGATACATAAGAAGTTACCTAGAAAATTAGAAGAAATAAACAACCCTTAATCAAAACTAACACCAAACTCATTGCCGAAGATTCTGTCAACAGCAACGCTATAGGACAGATTAGAACTGTTCTACAAAGTGTCCAAGGTTGTATGGGTTTTGTGGTGGGGGGGAGAAGTTATTTTGAGAGGTTTTAGTTTTAGCAATATCTTTTATTGCAGGTCTGGGAGAGAAGAGAATTCTCTCAAAAACTGCCTGTCTGGCTAAATAAAGATGGTTATTAATTTAAAAAATAATACTTTTTAAATTATACTTTATTTTATATTGGTTTGCATACAAAAATCATATACCTTGTGTTTCATTTGAAACTCACTGTATGATTGGAGAAATACATGAACACGAAGGTGGTTGGTATGTGTTTATAGAAGAAGACTGCCTCTTACTGGTAAGTCAAACCACCAAACTTTTAGTTAGCCCCTGAATAAACACATTGCCACTGGGGCTCCTAACAACATTTCATTCAGCCAGTTATCAGAGGCTGTAAATCGCACAGGAGGAGATTGTCCATCTTTCTATGGAGCTGCTTGTCAGTTTGAACCATTTCCCTTAGGATTGGAAGTGTAATATCTTATCTCTAGACTACCAACATTTGTTGTTGTTGTTGTTGTTGTTGTTGTTGTTGTTGTTGTTGTTAAGTGTTTCCTTGATCTGTTCTGATAACTGCTTCCTAGTCCAACGATAGCCACAATTTGTTGTGATCCACACAGTCAAATGCCTTTGCATAATCAATGAAACACAGATAAACATTCCTATCATACTCTCTGCTTTCAGCCAAGATCCATCTGATATTGACTATGATGTTGCTAGTGACACGGCCTCTTAGTGGTAAGTAATTGTGCTGCCAGTGCAAAAGTACAGTTAGGAACTACCAGCTGCTCTGAAGGAAAAAGATGGGAGATCTCCTTCTGTGCAAATTCCTGCCTCTGAAAATCCTCTGGAATTAGATGTGAGTTGATTTCAGCTTGATAATACACAGCAACAGTTTTCCAACATGATAGTGTTCAATAACATGTTGTTGTGGTTGTTATATGCCGTCGAGTCACTTGCGACTCATAGCGACCTTATGTACAGCAGCCCTAAACTCTGCTCTGTCCTGTGCCATTCTCACTGTCTTTGACACACCCATCCCGATTACCCCAGTCACTGAATCAATCCACCTCATAGAGGCCTTTCCCCTCCTGCGCTGTTCCTCCACCCTCCCAAGCATGGTGTTCCTCCCAGTGACCAGTCCCTCCTTACAACATGTCCAAAGTATGTCAGACAAAACCTCAGAATCCTTGCCTCCAAGGAGCAGCCCGGTTTAACCCTCTCCAGAGGAATCTGTTTGTTTTCCTAGCAGTCCATGGTATCCTCAATACTCGTCTCCAGCACCACAGCTCAAAGGCATCAATTCTCCTTCTATCCTCCCTAGTCATTGTCCAACTCTCTGATGCATAACAATTGATTGTGAAGACCATGGCCTGTATCAGATACACCTTAGTCTCCAGAGAGACACCATTACTCTTCAGTACTTTGGAGAAGTCCCTCACAGCAGACTTTCCCATCGCAGTACATCTTTTAATTTCCTGGCTGCTGGTGCCAAGCAAACTAAAGCTGTGAACAATCTCAATCTCTTCACCATCCATCCTGATGCTGCCAATTAGTCCCAGTCCTGTGGTGACAATCTTTGTCTTTTTGATATGAAGCCTCAATCCATAATGAAGGCTGCAGTCCTTAACCATGAGTCAAGAAAAAATATTCTATGAATATAATTTGCTCATAACTTTTAATTGAGGAGGAACATCATTCATACTCTCCCTACTGGATCTGATTCAATGACAGACTATTAAAATTAGTATATAACTAGCTCCTATTTTTAGACTTTAAGAGAAACAACATTACATTTTATAAAAAACATAAAACATTTTCCGAACATGCCAAAAAATAAAAGGAAGTACATATGGTATCCTGTTTCCTCGCATAAATTCTACAAAATTATGGACTTTTAAACAAATAGAACTTTCTAGTAGTATGATACTTTTATATTTGAGGTTGTCACTTAAATACGTAGTTAGCCATCTACGTGGAATAGTAGTTAATTATGTAAATCATGTATTCTGTAATCATCGTATTCTGTGCTTTAATTTCTCACTGACTACAGTAATCTTGCATTAGGTTTTTCTGAACAAACACAGACACTTGAATTAGTTCTCCACAGGAAACAGCATGCCAGGAATAATTCACTCTGAAAACTTTGGTAGTTAACTTGATCAATCATCACTGGCTATTCATTAAAATTTGACTAGGAATATTCTATGACATTGACTTTTCCAAAAGTGTTTTCCTGACTGTGATACCAAATCTATGTGTTTTCTCAGAACTTAATTTTTGTTTTAGTCATTATGATAAATGGGGTTTGCTCAAGATTTATTGCACCCATTGTCTATAATATTTGGTGTATATTTTGTTTCATTTAAAAATATTTAAATAAGGATAAGATGTATAAGATTTCCTTTTAAATAATCAATGATACATTTTTAAATCCTTCACTTTTGTTTTAGGTGAGGTTATCTCCAGCCAAAATGTCAACCAAGAATTCTACAGATCTAGTTGAATACACTGGAAAGTAAGTATAAATTACAAATTTTAACTTATATTTACTATATTTAAGGATATAGCTAGAAAGTACTCAGATGAGACCTTTGGACTTTTTTGCCTTAAAAAGGAACTTCTCTTCAGCAATAGAGCAAGATAAGTCTCCCTATTCTATTCCTTTCTGGTTGGCAGAGCAAGCCCATTCACTGCCTCCTTCTTCAACATGTTCCCTAGGTTTCTGTACGTCTATGGATGATTAATATAAGCAACAAATTACAAACAACATGATCAAATATAGTTAACAGTGACTTTCCATTACCCTTTCATGATGAAAATGAAGGGAACTTTGGCATCTACTAATTATAATAAAGCTTCAGATTACTATTTCTATTGCCACACTTGGAGTTCATAAGGAAATGTCTCCAGGAGAGAAACAACCCTGGGAATTTGGTAAATTCATCTTATTGGTACATGCATGTTGTCTAAAAGATTCTAGAATTCTCATCTCTAAGGTGAGGTACGGTGGTTAAATGCTCAGTTGTTAATGCAAAAGATGGCCATTCAACCCCCTAGTGACCCTCTTGTCTGAGGAAAAGACTTGTCTGTCTGCTCCCATAAAGATTACAGTATAGAAAATTCTAGAGAGCAGTTACACTCGCCATAGGAATAAACTGAACAACAAACAAACAGCAAGGACAGCATTAATAATGTAGCAGAAGGTGGAATGCTATAATGACTATTTATAGGCCAATTAGAGTGATGACATATTAAAGACAATAAATAATTTTTATGTTTCCATTTGTTCATCATCAATTCACAATGACCAACATCTATTGATGATGCCTATGTAGCCAAAACTCACTTAAGCTTAATTGAAGGGAGGGGAAAAAAGCCAGTTTTCTTTTTCTTATGCTGGTGACAGGAACGCTGAAGGAGGTCAAGAAACTATATCTAGTCTCCTCTATCCTCACCAGGGCCCCCCAACAAAGCATTTCCCGCCCTGGGGGATTAGATTGCGGGGTTTCTACCATCCTGTGTGAGTTTCTTGTATGAAAAGGTGAAATAGAGAAAGAAAATAACACCTTGATTTCATGTAATAAACGGAAAATGAAAGGAAAAAAGTAAAAACATCAACTATGTCTATACTTGAGCCTTCTCTAATCAGCTGTGTGACCTTGAGCAAAAGAAAATCTTTTCTGTTCTCTGGCCAATCTGTGATTCCTCCATGAAAAGAAATAAGGGATTCGAGTGACCTTAAGTAATAAGCAACCTACAGTCCCTAATGCTATTTAAGATCAAGACAAGAGGCAGATTGCATTTCCAGGAGTCAGATTAGAAAGCTGTCCCTGATTGCTGCATCTCAATTCTACATCATAATTTTACCACCAGTTTTCTTGTAAGCATTCTACGTAATAAAGCAGGTAGCTAAGGTTTAAAGATGTATATCTCCATCTCCAAGGAATTTAATTTTGAAAAGTCAATTTTGACCATAAGTCTATTTTTTTAATTGGCTTTTCTTGAAAATTTTTTTCTAATTGTTAAACCAAATATTTTTCAAGGTTTCTTCAATTCCTCAGATTCTTTGGTCTTCAAAAATAGGTTTGTCACTATCCATTCATTTAACATCTATCGAGGAGTACTGTTATATGCTGGAGCCTCAGAAAATCCGCTGAGGGGTCTGCTATGAGTGGTTGCAACTCCATAGCACACAACAATAGTCTGGTAGCTAGTCTTTAAAAAAGGAATTATTATTATTATTATGAATTCATTTTCCATATATCTAATGAATGACTACAGTGTGCCGGAGCTTTGTGGCTAGTCCACAGAGAGCTGCTCCGCAAGAGAAAGATGAGCGATCTCCGCTGTGCGATCATGGCCTCTGAAAATCCGCCGGAGGGCCAGCTATGAGCCGGCTCCAGCTTTTGCCAATGAGTGAGTGTGACTTTGTCATAAGGACTGTGTAATTGCAGAGCTTCTAGAAAACACAACAACAACAAACAATTCAGGCCTCACGGAACGTCCATTCTAATGAGGAGAGACATACATTATTCAATTGTCTGGTCAGAGTTGGTCTCATTGAGGATCTGACATTTGAGCTAAGATTAGAAAGCTGTGAGGGAGTTGGTCATTTGGATACATGCAACATTCCCAAGGCAGGAGCATTTCCTTTACCAAGTAAGAACAGCGTGATGACTGAAACAAAGCATAAACTTGAACTACATTTCGATTCAGACTTGATTTTAAGATGCCTGGAAGGGACCTCTAGTTTCTGCTGCCATAGGAAAGTCTCAATTTCCTGAACAAAAAATGAAATAAATTTTGTTCTGAGAAGTTGTCTTGGTTGGGCTATTGCCAATATATATTTTAGGAATTCCCTCAAGAACACATTTTAGGAACATGAGGGTCTGGCTGACAGCCAAAGAGCTGTATTCAAAATTTGTATATATAAAACCTTCAGGAAGTAAAAAAGGGCAAAATAATAAATGATTAATGATTTCTCTTTTGAGTAGACGATGGCATTCCAGTCTGAAAAATATTCATTTATAAGGGGGGTTTTTTTTTCTGAGCATCCTGGCAGACACTTTATTAGTCTATGATGGATTTCTTTTGCTGCTACATAATGAAGACAAATATTTCACATTGCAGTTTACCAAAAAAAGAAGACAGAACTGTCCTTTCTGTGGGTAGGTCATGTGAAGTCGGAATTCTTTGGGATTTTATTTTGAACTATTGTGCTTATTCAGGGGTAACTCATTCCCAAGTGAGAAAGTTGAAATAGACTGCATAGTTTATGAAGAAACGGATACCTGGACATTGAGGTTATTTGCAAGTATTTTTATTAAGCAATGCTGTCTCCCAGCTCCTCCAACCACAGCCATTCTTAAATCTTTCCATTCTTACTCTGTATTAAGTCATCTTGTTTCATTCTTCCAGTAGTTCAATGAGGTGGATATTCTTCCTTTTTAAAATACAAGATGTTTGAGTTCATAAGAAGGAAGGTCACATATAGCTACTGAGTGAAGAACCAAAATTCTAATCTAGGAATTTATGCCTATGTTACTACAAAGCCTACATTCTTCTACTACTGTCACCATTCCAACTATTCTCCCAACTGGTACGCACACACACACACACACACACACACACACACACACACACACTTTATTTCTGAGCCCTCCCACAGGGCTGTCTAGATACACAGCCACAGTACAATCCTTTGCTGTTCTCATGCTAGCATGTTCTCACAGTTCCATTTGAGGGAGCAGTACCCTGCTGTGGGTAAGCATAGCTATAGGGATTGGGTATTACACACAGAAAATCCCACATCATTCAGGGTAGGGTTGCCCAGATGATGGTCAGTTCCTCACGTTAGGAGAGCTTCAGGTTTTTACCACAACTAAGATATTCTACTCTGATATGAAAACTACCTCAAGCTAGGGCTAAGGCCAATCTCAGTTCCCTAAAGCAGAGAACCAATTGCTCTAAACTCTGGGCTTCGGAAGGTCTATGGAAATCCAAGGAGAAAAACAAACTAGGCAAAGGAGAGATAAGTAGAGTGAAATGAAAAACTATTGAGTGTAACTTGTCTATTTAAAAGCAGGAGAACAATGCTACCTTATTTTCCTTAGGGATGATGTAAGAAATGATGCAGCAGCAGAAAGAACCATTGTTCTTGCCATTGGGTGTCATCAGATCAAGTCCAACTCAGAGAGACCCTCTTTACAAGAGAATAAAACTGCGCAACCCTGCATCATCCTCAAGCTCCAATACAGGAAAAGCAGAATAAAATATTTCCCAGCTCAATTACTTGTAAATCTGTAAGTCCCAATTTCCTCTTGCAGTGAGACAAATTATACTTAAGCCACACAATAGCCATGGGAATCAAATTTAAAGTTTTAAAAAAATGTCTATTAATCTCCTTATTGACTAGAGAAACTATATATAATAATATAATATTACAATAATATAATAAACTAAGCCCCAGGGGCCTAGTAGGTAAGGAGTTGCACTGCCAAATCAAAGGCATGCAGTTTAAGTACACCAGGAGCTCTGTGGAAGAAACATGGGAAGTCTCCTTTCATGCAATTTGCTGCCTCTACAAACCAGCTAGATCAGCCCTGAATCCGTTCTGACTCTATGGCACAACATTACCCCCACAAAATATACTCCTCTTCGTTATTCCTTGGGTATTGTTTTCAAATAGTTTACCATCTAATAATTATTGCTAATTACATTAACCGGAACCCCTGGTTGTACAATGGTTGAGATACTTGGCAGCTAACCCAAATGTTTGTTGGGAAAACCCACCAGTGGCTCCATGGAAGAAGGATACATCATATAAATTTAACCCCTCTGCAAACTGGACATTTACAATATCAAGGCAGGGTAGAGATCAGTTCGCTTAGTTTTGTTGTTGTTATATACTGTCAAATCACCTGAGAGATGCATAGTGACCCTGTGCCCAACAGTTTTGAACCCTGTCTATCCTGGGCCAGTCTCACCGCCTCCTTACCCCCATTAACCTGCCTGCTCCCTTTAACCCAGCTACTGTGTCAACCTATCTCCTCCAGGATCTTCCTCTCTTGTGCTGTCCCTCCACCCTTCCAAGTAAGATGTCCTTCTCCAAGGACTAGTCCCTCCTGGCAACATGTCCAAAGCATGTTAGACAAAGCTTCAAAATCCTTGTCTCTAAATAACACCATCATTTCATCCTCTTTAGGACAAATGTGATTGTTCTTTTGGTGGCCCATGGTATGTTCAATACTCTTCTCCAGAACCACAACTCAAAAACATCGATGATTCTTCTATCATCTTTAGTCATTGTCCAGCTCTCTTAGGCAAGTAGTTTTGAAGGCCATATCCTGGACCAGGCATTCTATCTCTACACTAACATTGTTGCTCTTCAGCGCTTACAATCTCTTATTCATCTATCATGGTGCAGCCAATTTGCCCAGTGGAGAGAATCTTTGTTTAGTTGATGCTGAGCTTCAGTCAATATTTTGGACTTCAGTCTTTGGCCTTCTGCACTAA